TTTCTCAATGTCCCTAGAGACTACCCCCTTAGAGTAGGTCTACCTAGACAGTTGGGCTAAGACTATACCTATACCTCTACAAATCTGACTGCCACCTTTGACCTATAGCAAAAGACTTTGTTGGCCCCAGAGGAGAAGGTAGCCTAAGCCAAGAATAAAACTGCTGAAACAAGGTGAGAACCGCTCTTCAGAACCCAACTGAATAACACTTCACTCATCCAGAGGTCACTTCTCTCTGGTAACCTCATATATCTGGAACAAAACAGCATAAGAAAGAAATTAGAAGGGGGGAGGGGGTGCTTTTAGAAAGTCAAAATAGATGTCAGCATCCACACAGTAAAGTGTGCAGGTTTTACTCATAAAAGGATCTTTCTCGGAGCCAATTTACTTTACTTCAGACCAATTCTTACAAGTGTATTTATTGTTTTTGTGGCAACAACAAATGAGAGTGAGTAGCAAATTATGAGGAAGCAGAAATACTGATAACAGCAGAACTGACAGTTGAATGGAGATGGAAATGGTGAATCAACGTCATAAGGGTGTGTCCTCTTAATAATAAAGCAGGACTGACTCCTACAGTCAAACATGGAGCAAATTGGTGAGCAATGAGAAACTTGGCAAATGTTGGCCAATGCTGCCTAGCTGTTCACTTTAGGACATTGTTGTCTCTGGATCATCCTTTCAGCCTGACCATTTGCTTAAGAGTGATGAGTTATCATGGTGACAGCTCAGCTGAGTTTCCATTCTTAAAAAAAGAAAATTTAAATAATTCCTTAAGCCCCAATAAGGTAAACCCCAACCCCATGTCAGAAATGATGGAGCCCAGAGGTGTAGTTGTAGGAGATTTGGGACAGGATTCAGAGCATCAGGCTTCCACCAGAGAAGGAGCTACCACAGACAAGAGTCTCTTCCCTGGACTGGCCTTGCCAAACCACTGTAGACTCTTGACTGAGGCTTCTCAGGCACTTCCCCTGGAAAGACAGGTGCCTTTGGAAGCCTGGGATAAGCAGCCCCACCTGCTCTACACTCCTCTGTCCATATTTCTTTTAGCATCAGAATCCCACCCAGGGCCACCAGATTCAGCTAATATCAGTAGTTCCTGAATGTGCTCTTTGTAACATGGGCAAGATAACAGAATTACCAATTTGACTGTCACTTGAGTGGGTTTGGATGGAAGGTATGCGATATGGACCAGAGGGGAGGACAAATACATTAGCCGCAGATGAGATGAAAGCTGGGAGTCACTACCCTGACCACTTAGGCTGGGCTCTGAGGGAGGTTGCAGTGGGACAGAACAATGCACCCTTGTTAAAAGGCATGTGCATTTCTGGGGATGGTTAGGTATGGGATGCAGGGTTCCAAAGAGCAGGCAGGCCCAGTAGCAGCCCCCTACCATCACAGCCAGAGAATTTACATAGCAGGCAATAATGCTCCAAATTAGACAGATGGTAGCATTAAATCCATTCACAGCTGAAGCTCAGACAGTGGCAGGGGAGGAGAGGAAAAAGCATTCCCCTCCAGGGGAGGAACTTGGCAAGAGCTAGGTATGGAATCAAGGCCCCAACCAAATGGACCTTAGTCCAAGAAGAAAGCCAAAACCCAGGCAGATGAACTGGGCCATATAGTTGGGGATAGGAAAAGATTGTGACAAGAGGGCTGCAAGGTACTTGGGTCTTCCTTCTGGCTCACTCCAGTCACCAATGGGCTAAGGCAGCTCAGGTACCCCCATAGCCTATTCAGGATAGACTCAGGGTGGAAAACTAGGAAAGGTTGGGGAAGGCAGGGGCTTGTAGTCCTCTTGAACAAAATAACAATTCCATTATCATGGTCATCCTTTGTGGGCCTGCAATTCACCTTGGATTTCTTAGCTTCTCTGATGATCCTTGTGCCCATTTTTTAAAACAGCTTTATTGAGATATACTTCACATACCATACAATTCACCCATTCACAATTCAATGTTTTTATTTTTATTGATTTATTTATTTTTATCCTCACCCGAGGATATTTTTCCATTTTTTGTACAGATAGAGTGGAAGGGAGAAAGAGGAAGGGAGAGAGAGAGAGAAACATCGACGTGAAGGGACACATCGAGTGGCTGCCACCCGCACGACCAACCAGGGCCGGGGACAAACTGCAACCGAAGTACGTGCCCTTAGCGGGAACCGAACCCCGGTCTCTCCGGACCCCAGGCCGATGCCCTAACCGCTGAGCCAAACTGGCCAGGGCTCACAATTCAATGTTTTTAGTACATGCACAGGGTTGTGCAACTATTGCCACAATCACCTATTTTGTTATTAAGATTTTTATTTTGAGAACATTGTGCATTCACATGTAAGAAATAATACAGAGATCTCTTGTACACTTTGTCCAGTTCCCCCCAACAGTAACATTTTGCAAAACTATAGTACAATATCACAACCACCCATGTTGTTCACATTTCCCCAGTTTTACTTGTACAGTAAGTTCTCACTTAATATCATTGATAGATTCTATGACTTTAAGCAAAACGATGTATAACAAAACTAATTTTACCATAGCCTAATTGATATAAACAAGAGTCAAGTTCCTAAGGCATCTCATTAACATTGCAACAAAATGACATTGAATGAAAAACCATTATGCAAGGACCTGCTGTATTTATTTGCATATGTGCATGTTTCATTCTATGCTATTTTATTACCTGTGTAGGTTCATGTATCCACCACCACAGTCAAGATGCTAAATGGTTCCATCTTCAGATGGATCCCTCATTGCCCTTATCCCGCATACCTGCCTCACTCCCCCTCCCTTCCCTAAACCCAAGCAACCACTAATCTCTTCTCCACATTTCTAATTTTCCCATTTCAAGAATGTTATTATAAATGGAATCATACAGTATGCAACCTTTGGGGACTGACTCTTTTCACTCAGCATAATGCCCTTGAGAGTCATCGTAGTTGTTTCATATTTCAATAATTCATTCCTTTTTATTTTACACCCACTTTTAAGTTAGGGAGATCTGCTAGTGGCTTGAAGGAGACTGAAGGAGAGCCCCTGGAGATGGCAGTGCAGCACCGCAAAGGAACTGCGGAGGCAGAGGGCATGGACCTCAGAGAATTCTACCCATCTTGGAGACATGCCTGGAATCTTGAACTGCACTTAAGCACATGGCTTCCTCTTTGAGTTGAAAAGTGCACAGCTCTGTTCTTGAGCAAACAGCTATCAGCAGTTGTCACCACAAGACAACTGACGTTTGAGGTATCCACCCAGATCAGACCCCACTCTCTAGAAAAGAAGCCTCAGAGGTAAGAAATTATTCATCCTAGCAGAGCCCAATCATCGAGTGCTTAAGGTTCCAGAAACTGTCCACATACTGAGCAGCAGTGTCTTTGGAAGAAGAAAAACTATGGCAGAAGCCAAGGAGCCTCAGGAAAGCCAAAGATTCTTGTTTGATTTTTAGAGTAATCTTGAGGAGGATATAATTCAGCAGTTTTGGTGTCACTGATTTCATATTTCTCTTCTTTCACTCATATTAAAAATCTAAAGACTTTCTGCTTCTTCGACTTCTGTTGATCCCAGGATCATCAGAATGAAGTGCCTATTATGATGTCTGTAACTTACTTGAAAATATTAAAGCAGAGCCTGCCCAGTGTAGCTCAGTGGTTGAATGTCGACCCATGCACTAAAAGGTTGCTGGTTTGATTCCCGATCAGGGCACATGACCAGGTTGTGGGCCTGATCCCCAGTGGGGAGCATGCAGGAGGCGACCATTCAATGTTCTCTCCCATCAATGTTTCTATCTCTCTCCCTCTCCCTTCCTCACTCTCTCTAATATAAATAAAGAAAAAAATGTTTTAATTTTTAAAAAATCTAAGCAGGGACAGTGTGGTATTCTTTGTGGTTAGTTTATACACTCTGGGTGTCAGCAGTCGTCCTATCAGGATCTCTCACTCAAAAGCCAGACTCCAGAGATGGCTACTATGGTAGTTGTCACTACCTCCTATTAATACCACAGGCTATACTAATTAGCAAAATAAATGTTAGAAATAAGTTGTCACTGGAGAAAACAGGCATTGTAACTTTTACAATGATTATTAAAAATGGATTCTTATTGGTGAAATTAGTGGTATTCAAAATATGTGGACTGACTAAAATACTTTAACTTGAACATGGTGTAAATCTACTGGTCTTTACGTTTAAGGATGGTACTCTTGACCTGATTCCTGAAGGGTCCTGAGTTCTGCTGGTAATTCCAAATAACTCTTGGTCCCCTGACCCCAATAAATGGTTAATTGCATCTGTGGCTGGAATGTTATCACATTTGCCTTGGGTGAACTTTTCATTCAAAAAGAACCAAAAAGGACAGAGATCTGAAACATCATTGAGCTTCTAGAACATATTTTATGATGTTTGTGCCTGTTTGTTAATAGATGTTTATATGTGTGGCAAATTAGGTCTGACACTGGCTTTTATTCCAAAGTAGCAGCAAGATTGTGGGGAGGTAGCTAACCCCCTCAACTTCCTCAAAATATTGGTTACCACCCATAAAACCTAATATTTGTGTCTGACCAAATTAGTTTAGGTCAGTTCACTATCACACCTTAAGAATGCAAAAAAAAAAAAATGACCCCTAATGGTAGGATCTCTATAAAGTTCTGAAAAATCCCAAGAGCCACAAAATTTGAGAAGTGAAGATACTGAACTCAGTAGCAAACAGCAGTCTTTGTCACATGAGCAACCAAGATGTCAGGTGAAGAGACACACATTTGTGGTTCTGGGTCTGCATTGGGAAGGACTTTTCTGTGGCATAATGTCTCATGATGAATTTTCTTGAAAAAAAATCTACATTTCAAATCTTTTCAACCATGCAGTATTAACAAGGCTTTCAGAGCCTTAGCTAACCCACACACCTTTAAACATCTAAAATCTGTGAATAATTATCAATAGAATAAAAACTTCTCTGCATATGTAAGTGCCAAGCATATTACACACATTATACCTTTTAAAAAACAAAACCTTTGTGCTCGCTTCAGCAGCACATATACTAAAATTGGAACAATACAGAAAAGATTACCATGGCCACTGCACAATAATGACACTCATATTCGTGACGCATTCCATATTTTTTTTTAAAAAATGGTCAAGGGTTAGAGAATATATTGGAAGAAATGAATACAGAAAACTTTCCTAACTTGGTGAAGGAAGAAGGCATTCAAGTTCAAGAAGCACACAGAGCCCCAACTAAGAAGAACCCAAACAGGCCCACACCAAGACACATAGTAATCAAACTGCCAAAAATTAAAGACAAAGAGAGAATCCTAAAAGCAGCAAGAAATAAGCAACAGGTTACCTACAAAGGAAACCCCATAAGGCTCTCAGCTGACTTCTCAACAGAAATACTACAGACCAGCCCTGGCCAGTTTGGCTCAGCGGTTAGAGCGTCGGCCTGCGGTCCGGAGAGACCCGGGTTCGGTTCCCGCTGAGGGCACGTGCTTCGGTTGCAGTTTGTCCCCGGCCCTGGTTGGGTCGTGCGGGTGGCAGCCACTCGATGTGTCCCTTCACGTCGATGTTTCTCTCTCTCTCTCTCCCTCCCACTCTATCTGTACAAAGAATGGAAGAATGTCCTCGGGTGAGGATTAAAAAAAAAAAAAGAAGAAAGAAATACTACAGACCAGAAGGGAATGGCATGAAGTAATCAAGGTCATGAAAAACAAGGATCTGAATCCAAACTACTCTACCCAGCAAGGCTATCATTCAAAATAGAAGGTCAAGTAAAGAGCTTCCCAGACAAAAAAAAGGCTAAGGGAATATAATAACAGCAAACCAGCACTGCAAGATATGCTAAAATGACTGCTGTAATTAGTAGAAGGAAAAGGAAGAAAAATAGAACCACACTAAACAAAAATGGCAATAAATAAGTACATATCAATTATCACTTTAAATGTGAATGGTTTGAATGCTCCAATAAAAAGACACAGAGAGCTGACTGGATAAGAAAGTATGATTCACATATATGTTGTTTACAAGAGACCCACCTCATAACAAAAGACTCACATAGGTTGAAAGTGAAGGGATAGAAAAAAATCTTTCAAGCAAATGGAAAGCAAAAGAAAGCTGGGGTAGCAATATTCATATCTGATAAAGTAGATTTCAAAATGAAGACCATAACTAGAGGTAAAAAAAAGGCTACTACATAATATTGAAAGAATCTACCAACAGGAAGATATAACCTAGGTAAACATATATGCACCAAATATAGGAGCTCCAACATATATTAAAAATCTTTTGGAGGACTTCAAAGGAGAAATCGACAGCAATACAATCCTAGCAGGGGACTTCAAAACCCCACTCACATCACTAGATAGATCACCTAGACAAAAAATTAACAAGGAAACACAGACTCTAAATGAAGCGCTAAATCAAATGGATTTAATAGATATCTACAGAGAATTACACCCCAAAACTGCAGAATTCACATTCTTTACAAGTGCACATGGGACATTCTCAAAGATAGACCACATGTTAGGACACAAACTAAGTCTCTACAAGTTCAAGAAGATTGAAATCATATCAAGCATCTTCTCAGATCACAATGGCATGAAACTAAAAATCAACGGCAACAAGAACATGCAAAGACATTTGTACACATGGAGGCTAAATGGCATGTTATTAAACAATGAATGGGTTACTGAGATTAAGGAAGAAATTAAAAACTTCCTGGAATCCAGTGAAAATGAACACACAACAACAAAAAATCTATGGGATGCAGCAAAAGCAGTTCTGAGAGGGAAGTTCATAGCACTACAAGCCTACCTCAAGAAACAAGAAAAATTTCTAACATAATATCTAACCTCACAACTTAAAGAACTAGAAAGCAAACAAAAAGAAAATCCAGAGCAAGTAGAAGAAAGGAAATGGTAAAGATCAGAGCAGAAATAAAAGACATAGAGACCAAAAAAACAATTCAAAGGGTCAATGAAACAAAGAGCTGGTTCTTTGAAAAGATAAACAAGATTGATGGGCCCTTAGCAAGACTGACCAAGAAACAAAGAGAGAGAACCCACATACACAAAATCAGAAATGAAAGAGGAGAAATACTGACACCACAGAAATACAAAGGATTGTTAACACATATTATGAACAATTATACGGTAACAAATTCGACAATCTAAGCAAAATGGACCAATTTCTAGAAACACATAGTCTCCCAAAACTGAACCAAGAAGAGATAGATAGAAAATTTGAACAGACTAATAACAACAGAAGAAATTGAAGATGTAATCAAGACTCTCCCAGTAAACAAAAGCCCAGGCCCAGACAGCTTCATGGGGGAATTTTACCAAACATTCAAAGAAGAACTAACACTCATTCTCCTCAAACTACTTCAAAAATTCAAGAAGAAGTAATACTCCCAAACTCGTTTTATGAAGCCAGCATAATTCTAATTCCAAAACCAGAAAAAGACATTACAAAGAAAGAAAACTACAGGCCAATATCCCTGATGAACATAGTTGCCAAAATCCTGAACAAAATACTAGCAAATCGAATCCAGCAATACATTAAAAAATTACTCACCATGACCAAGTGGGATTCATTCTAGGGATGCAAGGCTGGTAGAGTATTCACAAATCAATAAATGTGATACACCACATAAATAAAATGAAGAATAAAAATCATATAATCATATCAATAGATGCTGAAAAAGCATTCAACAAAATCCAGCACCCATTTTTGATAAAAACACTCAGCAATCTGGGAACAGAGGTATTATATCTCGACATAATAAAGGCCATGTATGAAAGACCTACAGCCAACATCATACTGAATGGGCAAAAACTAAAAGCATTTCCCTTAAGAACAGGAACAAGGCAAGGATGCCCACTTTCACCACTCTTATTTAGCATAGTATTGGAAGTCTTAGCCATAGCAATCAGACAGGAGAAAAAATTAAAAGGGATCCAAGTGGGAAAGGAAGAACTGAAACTGTCAGTATTAGCAGATGACATGATACTATACGTAGAAAACCCCAAAGACTCCATCAAAAATTTACTAGACTTAAGAAATGAATTTGGCAAAGTAGCAGGATACAAAATTAACGTCAAGAAATCGATAGCATTCTTATACACCAATGATGAACTCACAGAAAGAGAAACTAAGAAAACAATCCCATTTACCATTGTGGCAAAAAGAATTAAGATACCTAGGAATAAATTTAACCAAGGAAATAAAAGACCTATTTGCAGAAAACTAAAGGGCATTGAAAAAAAGAAATAGAGGAAGATATGAAAAAGTGGAAGCACATACCTTGTTCATGGATTAGAAGAATCAACATCATTAAAATGTCCATACTACCCAGAGCAATCTATAGATTCAATGCAATCCCCATCAAAATACCAATGACATACTTCACAGAACTAGAACAAATACTTCAAAAGTTCATATGGAACCAAAAAAGACCCCGAATAGCCACAGCAATCTTGAAAAAGAAGAACAAAGTAGGAGGGATCACATAACCAGATTCAGGTTATACTACAAAGCCACTGTAATCAAAACAGCCTGGTACTGGCACAAGAACAGGCATATAGACCAGTGGAACAGAACAGAGAACCCAGAAATGGACCCAAGGCAACATGCTCAATTAATATTTGAGAAAGGTGGCAAGAGAATACAGTGAAGTAAAGACAGCCTCTTTAATAAATGGTGTTGGGGAAATTGGACAGCTACATGCAAAAAAAATGAAACTAGACCATCAACTTACACCCTACACAAGAATAAACTCAAAATGGATAAAAGACTTAAATGTGACTCATGAATCCATAAAAATCCTAGAAGAAAATGTAGGCAACAAAATTTCAGACATCATACATAGCAGAATTTTCACTGCTACATCACCTAAGGCAACAGAAACAAAGGAGAAAATGAACACATGGGACTACATCAAACTCAAAAGCTTCTGCACAGCGAAAGATACAATCATCAAAATGGAAAGGCAACCCACTGTATGGGAGAGCATAATTGGCAATGATATATAAGATAAGGGTTTAATTTCCAATATATAGAGAGTGCTTATACAAGTCAACAAAAAGAAGACAAAGAACCCAATTAAAAAATGGGCAGAGGAACTAAATAGACACCTCTCCAAACAGGACATACAAATGGCTAAGGGACATATGAAGAAATGCTCATCATCACTAATCATCAGAGAGAAGCAAATTAAAACAACAATGAGGTATCACCTCACACTTGTCAGAATGGCCGCCATCAACAAATCATCAAACAACAAGTGTTGGCGAGGGTGTGGAGAAAAGGGGACTCTAGCACACTGCTGGGGGCAATGCAGACTGGTGCAGCCACTATGGAAAACAATATGGTGTTGCCTCAAAAAAATTAAAAATTGAACTTCCATTTGACCCAGTGATCCCACTTCTAGGAATATACCCTAAGAAGCCTGAAACACCAATCAGGAAGAATATATGTACCCCCATGTTCATAGCAGCACTATTTACAATAGCTAAGATCTGGAAACAGCCCAAGTGTCTATCAGTAGATGAATGGATAAAAAAGCTGTGGTACATATACACAATGGACTACTATGCAGCTGTAAGAAAGAAAGATCTCTTATCCTTTGAGACGACATGGAGGGTCCTCGAAAGTATTATCCTAAGCGAAACAAGCCAAACAGAGAAAGACAAGTATCATATGATCTCACTTATTTGTGGAATATAATGAACATATCGGTCTGAAGCACAAGGTAGTCCCAGAGACGTGGAAGTGGGATACAGACTGACAATCCCCAGAACAGGGGGTAGTGGGGGAAAGATAAACCACAGAACTTATATGCATGTATGCATGAACAACGGACATGGACAACAAAGCTGGGGAGAGGGTGGGGAGGGAGGGGGAGTGGGGCATCAGTGGGGGAAAGAGGAGAAACATCTGTAACAAAAATAAATTTATTAATTTAAATAAAAATAAATAAATAAACAAACAAAAACAAAAATAAAACCTTTGACTTCCAGTCATGATGGCTGCATAGGTAAACGCGGTATCGCGTCCTCCCACAACCACATCAAAGTTACAGCTAAACTACAAAACAACCATCATTCAAATCCGCCTGAAATCAAGCT